GGAGTGGGAGAGGGAGAAGCAGGCTTCCTGCTGAGCAGGGAGCCTGATGCGCGGCTCAATCCCAGGACCCTGGGATCATGACCTGAGCCAAAGGCAGATGCTCAACGACTGAGCCACCCAGGCACCCCTTAAGGACAAGCTTTTAAACTTGAGTTCATTTTGAAGCCTCTGAACCATTCTTACGTGTCAGGAACACTTTAAGGCTGTAACTGCAAATTAGTTTAGAGAAGCCCTATTAAAATTTGGTCTCTGACAACTATATTCTTCACCTTTGTGAAGGAAACCATTTGGGAGAAGACCACTTTAGGATTGAATTGAAGTCTGGCAATTTTTTTTAAGATTTATTTATCCATTTGAGAGAGAGAGTGTGTGTGAGCATGTGTGTGCGAGCCAGCAGTGGGGAGGAGCAGAGAGAGGGGGAGACAAACAGACTCCCCGCTGAGCATGAAGCCCGATGCAGTGCTGCAATGTGGGGCTCAATCCCAGGACCCCGAGGTCATGACCTGAGCCGAAATCAAGAGTCAGCTGCCTAACCGACTGAGCCACCCGGATGCCCCTAAGTCTGGCAATTTTAACTTAAAAAGAAGAGGAAATTCCTAATAGAAGTTGCCAACGTCTGTATCATCTAAGAGTTTAAATCATTCAGGACCTTTGTTCTGTGGTTTATTACTCTTCCTGGTGTCTTTACCCTGTTTTCTCCTCGCAGCGCCTTTGGACGGGAGATGCTGAAGCGGAATATTGGTGTAGTTGTGGTGGGATTTCCTGCTACTCCAATTATTGAGTCCAGAGCCCGGTTTTGCCTGTCAGCAGCTCATACCAAAGAAATACTTGATACTGTAAGTAGACACTCTCACCTTGATATAAATATACCTATACTAAGGAGGCCTGGATATCAGATGAAATTGATCATCTGTTGATCCTGATGTTCTTTGAGCACCTGAGGTATTAACTGGTAAAATAGAGGAGGGAGTATGCGATGCTGCTTAAAACATTGCTGTTTACAAAAAAAAAAAAATTCAAAACTGTTTAGCATTGCCCACTAGACCCTGTGCAGTCAGGGCTCTGGGGAATTTATGGCTTTATCTTGTTCCACGCTCTCCCTTATGGCCTCTACAACTGTCTAACTCTCTTTGTACTCTAGCTGTTTCTACTGCAAGCCTTCTTGTATGTTGTTTTGTGTCTCTAGAATTTTCTCTCTTGAGCCCTCTCTCTCCTTTGCCTGGCTGACTTCTACTGACTCTTCACATCTCCACTTAAAGGAAACTTGCTCAAGGGTATTCCCCAGTCCTCTTGCTTGCCATTTCCTTGGAATCTTAAGATACCCCCTTAGTAAATCCTTCCCACCTGGAATTATTTAATGGCAATCTTCTCCACTGGATAAATCTTGAGGGCAGAGACTAAGTCTCTTTTGCTCGTTCTATATCTCCAGGACCTACCACAGTGCCAGGCATGTAGTAAGGGCTCATAATTACTGAATTTAATTATGGTTTCTTTATTTATTCTTGTGATATTCTCTTAACATGCTGTTATTTCACATCCAAGACTTCAGACTTTAAATAAGTATTGCTTTCTGGGAGTTTATAGAACTCTAGAATGTGATATTTGCATAAAATTATGGTTGACCTTGAACAACACGGGGGGTAGGGGTAGGAGAGCTAACACGCCCCCCCATCCCAAAGTAAAAAAATCTACATGTAACTTTTGCCTCCCCCAAAACTTAAGTACTAGTCAACTGGAAGCCTTACTGATAACAAACAGGCATTTAATACATATTTTGTAAGTTATATGTGTTATATACTATAGTCTTACAATAAAGTAAGCTAGAAGAAAGAAAATGTTATTAAGAAGATCATAAGGAAAAGACATTTATAGTACTGTATTTATCGGAAAAATCCACATGTAAGTGGACCCACACACAGTTCAAACCCTCGTTGTTCATGGGTCAGCTGCATTTGCTAGAAGTACCCATTAATTCATTGGAGAGCTACTAATCTTAAAGAATATTATGAATAACATGTTTTTAAGAGTTCATTGGAGCAATTTATTTGACATTTTTATTTCTGAGCAGCTGAAGACTGATTTTTCTTCCTTATTTCTATATAACAAAACTTCCACGAGTATATATATATATATATTTTTTTAAGATTTTATTTATTTGACAGAGAGAGACACA